CCACCTGGAGGACGGGAGTGGAGGAAGTCGTCGAAACACTTAAAGGGACCCCCTACACGGGAGTAGGCACCTTGCCTCTAGTACGGCAGGAGCAGCTGGGTCCGATGACGCGTAGCAGAAGCCGGATGCAGGCAATTGACACACACACTTTATAAGGGTTTCTCCCAGACTGCTGTTTTAACGCCCTGATGATGTCAGACGGGTCTGACGAAAGCTCGGCTTATTAAATTTTTAAACTTTTATACTTGACTCCTCTTGGTGCTGACTCCTGGGTAAATCCATATTCAGGGGAACCACAAATTGTGAGACCACCAGGAGATTTAAAAACTATAAAAGTTTAATACAATTAAAAACACCTAGCTTTCGCCGGCCCTCTGCCAGCATCATCAGGGTGACTAGCAGTCAATGGGATGGCTGTTTATAGGAGTGGTGCCTTTTGCACCCGACTCCTAGACCGCGTGACCGGGCCCAAACGATCTTCCTGCGTTCGGTTCCTGATTGCCCTTTCGCAAGCTGACACGCTCTTGCCTCCCTCCTCCCCACCCCCATTCCTTCCCTGCTTTGCTCGTACATTAGGGGGAGGAAGCAGTTCTTCACCCAAGGCACCTCTTTGTCCGTTGTCCCCCTCTCTCTTCCTGGACCTCCGCGTTCCAACTTTCCTCCCTTCTTCCTCATTGCCCGTGACCCTACTTGCCCTCTCTATCACACCTCATGCCCCCACCACCCTTCCCATTCTCTCATCTCGACCTCTCAACCATCTCCTCTCCTCCTTCTTCCTCCCCTCAACATCCCAACTCGACTCCTCCTCCATGGGTGTGCGTGTGACGGTCGCCTCTCCCTCCACACTTTCCAGCTGGGGGGGGTCGCTGGCGGCGCCAAGCGCGTCCCAACGTTTGTCCCCACAGCCTCACTGTCAGTAGCGCTCCCCTCCTCATACCCACACCCCTTTTTTCCACTGGTCTTCTCCTGCTGCCCCTTCAGTATATATATTTTATATATATATAAAAAATGGTAAAAAGGATATATGCAGTGTTATCTTCATTTTAGATATCAAAAGGGTTTTGTGGCTCCCAGTGTTTTGTTTTCGGTGGGAAACAGGTCCAAGTGGCTCTTTGAGTGTTTTGGGTTGCCTACCCCTGGCCTAGCTGCATACATTATGATTATACAATGATTATACATGAATTCTAACAAAAAAGCCTATTCTATATTTTTCATTTAAATTGGCTGCTTACTTCAAAATATTTTAATTCTATACAATACATTATAGACATGCTATATGAAAGAGGGTTAATTGTCATGCTTTTCCCAATGAACACTGAAAACTTCAGTTTGACAATGGTAATGTTTTTATTGTTGTTAGAGAGCCATAAAACCTATTCCTAATAAAGAGTAACTGGTTGTATAAGTGTGTATATGCTTTATAAGAAGTTATAAACTAACCAAAGCTAAACATTTAAATCACACTGGTTTTAAACAGGAAATTTAGATCGCACAGTTAACTAAACATTTAAATCACAATGGTTTTAAACAGGAAATTTAGATCGCGCAGTTAACTAATGCATTAAGCACAGCAGTGCTCAGAAGTCTTTATTTAAATTAATAAATTGAAAGAATATTACAAAAATTATCTTCCTATTCATAATCACATCACAATTAGACACTTACTCATCCATTATAGAACTATGGCTTAAATTATCAGTAGAAACTTCCATTTTTGAACTTGGATGAACGCTGGTAGTTTGAATGCTTTTAGTAGCAAGAGCTGCTCTTTTCTCATCTTTTTCCAGTGCTTTCCGTTTTCCACCATTTTGAAAATATTCCCGGGACACACTTAAGGCAGAAAGGCAGATAGATTTTTTTAAAAAAAAAAACATGTTCCTGTGGTATTCTATTACACCCATGATTTAAAACATTGTAATTATTGCATATTATGATAGTGTAATTTAAACTAATTATACTTCAGCGAAATGAATATAAAATTAACAATTGGATTTAAGCTAAATGCTAAAATAACCATAGAAACTGTTCAGTATTACACAATTCTTTCAGTTCATGCAGTATTGTAGAATTGCATGGACCTCACCATTTCCCCTTTTTTTCACTTTATCCTTCATATTTTCTTCCCTATGCATTTTCTATAGTAAATTATTTTTTCTAGAAAGTATATTTCTTAAGTTATCTAGTAATTAAAAACGATTAAACTGTCAGTTCTGAAATGAACTCTTTAATATGATTCCAAGTAAAGACTACAGATAGTCCTCATCTTACAACCATATGTTTAGCGATCAAAGTTACTATGGCACTGAAAAAGTGACTTACGACAGGTCCTCGCACTTATGACTGTCGCAGCATTCCCATAGTCAAATGATCACAATTCAGGTACCTGGCAACCAGCATGTATTTACAATGATTGCAGCATCCTGGGGTCATATGATCACCATTTGCAACTTTCCCAGCCAGCTTCTGACAAAGTCGTAACAGAGGTGACATGATAGCAGTGTTCCAGTATTTGAGGGGCTGCCACAAAGAAGAGGGCATCAAACTATTCTCCAAAGCACCAGAGGGCAGGACAAGGAACAATGGTTGGAAACTGACCAAAGAGAGAAGCAACCTGGAATGAAGGAGAAACTTCCTAACAGTGAGGACAATTAACCAGTGGAACAGCTTGCCTTCAGAAATCGTGGGCACTCCATCACTGGAGATTTTTAAGAATAGACTAGACAGTCACTTGTCTGAGATGGTATAGGTTCTCCTGCTTGAACAGGAGGCTGGACTAGAAGACCTCCAAGGTTTAATTCTTATTCTTATTTATTCCTATTCCTATTCCCATTCCATTCTATTCTATTCTGGAAGGCAATTTTCTTTAAAGGCTGCATGAGTCACTTAACAATTGTGGTTATTTGCTAACAACTGTACCAAAAAAGGTCATTAAACTGGACGTAACTTACTTAACTGCAACAGATATTCTGGTCCCAATTGTGGTTGTAAATTGAGAACTACCTATGTCTATGCCACAGAGATCATAAAGTAGTTTCGCTAATGGCTTTACTGTATATATTAGAAAGCATGAAGGAAAAAAATACTGTATGGGATTCTGTGGGCCATTACAGGTTCAGTGCCACAGAGTAATGCACAAGCTCCAAATTACTTTTGAAGCCAGATTTGCAAATAAAACTGAATCCTCATGACTTTCAGTCCTAATCCACAAAACTGGGTAAATAGGATATTATAGTCATTGGTACTAAAGCTGCCAAAAGGTTACAAAAAAAATCAACATTTATTTATTTGGATCCCTTTATTATTTTTATAGTAACTTAAGGTGGTGAATATATACAACACACCTTCCTCCTTCTATTTTTTCCACAACAATGTTGGGGGTGATTTGGGCTAAGACTGCCCCAAGTTCACCCAGCTGGCTTTTATGGCTAAGGCGAGACTAGAACTCAGTGAGTGATTTAATCCACTGTACCAAACTGGCTTTCATCACATAACCCAATCTTTCTCTGAATAGAGATCTTTATATTAAGTTATGTTTTGTGCAGAACCTAAGCCTAATACATACTATAGAGTTTTGATCAGGAGTAGGCAATCTGAAACTCTCCACATATTTAGAATTTCAACTCTCAAGCAAGTACAACCAAAAGCCAAGAATTGGGACAATGTAATTAAAAAAACTGGTGGTGGGCATCAAGTTTTTACAATTCACTTCTGGTAAAGATAACATTTTATTCAAGAATACCTGGAACTGGATTATCATCATTCAGTTGCTATACTTAGGCTAAAAACAGAAAATTCACAGTTGGTTGATAGTTGTTAATAATGTTTAGGTCCAATGAAGCTTTTCTCAAGATTATCTCACAAATTTCTACTTCGCTAAAGATAGATTTTTGTCTTTTAGACACTGATAACCATTCAGCCATCCCTGCAGCATGATTAGAAATAATCAAGATAGGCATAGGTTAAGAGTATAAGTGGATGGTTGGAGCTCTTCAAGCACCTTTACCATATGCTCAGACTGCAAAACACATCCTTCAGAATTGGAAATGTATAGTACTCCCATTATCTTCCATAAAGCTATGAGAGAAAAGTTTTTAATATTATATAGCATTTTCTTTCATTAGACTATATAAAGATTTACCTGCAGCACCATTCAATGCGACCTTCTCCTTCACAAGTTTTAGTCCAGTGATTATCTGCCAGGTTTTTCATTGCTTCAGCATATTCACAGAGAGTTTCTTCATCCTCACAATGTTCACGCCATATTTTATCAAAGTCACCCACTAACCAAAAACACACACATAATATGAAACTTCACTGTGAAAGAAATCATGACAAAGAGGTAGGCTATAGTATATTCCTATATATTTTCTACTTAACAAAATCCAGTGTGTAATGTGAGCTTACAAAACAACTGATCCAGACAATCCTACCCCTTTGCAGGCTTACTTGAGGATATGAATATATTCATTAGGACATCAGTTCTAAAAAGTACTTTCCCTGTGACGGTGTTCATGCCTGAAACATTTTGTGCCATGATTTCTGAAGTGAAGAATTTTTAAAAATAGAAGTTATTCCTTCACGTTTACTTCCCATGCTTGATAAAAGATTTGTAATTCCCTAATCAAAAACATTTACTTGATTTGCTGTCTTAACAGGCAAACTACGCGTACCCAATTATTAACACAACAATTACTCCGACTACCATTTCTTGAAACTTCTCATCACAGTGGCACAATTGACACTGAAGATTGTATAACAATGGTGCAAAATCTCAGTTAAGGCACTATTGCTCAGGCCAGTGATCAGGAGCTTGTCATTTGAAGGTGTTCAGAAATAACTTGACATGGCAGACTATCACAGTTCAATTTGGTCTTCACCTGCAACCGACCAAAATTGGCTGACTTAACAGAATGTCACCAACTGGTTCCACTAAACAGTGTGTGTCTCTTTGTGTGAGAGAATCACCACACACACACATATACACACACAGGGTGTCTATTTAAAAGAAAGTGTGGGAGATGAAAATATAGCCCCCTCCTCATATAACAAGATGAGGCTAGAACAAATCTGAAATAGGCCCCCACAGAAGTGATTTGAAGCTCTAACTTGAACTTTATGCTGTTTCACAATACGAACGTACTATTTGTAATCTGCTGAGCAAAGTAGATAGTTCTACGTATATTTGGAACATGAGTATTGTAACCGTGGGAGAAATAGGGAACTGAAAAGTAGCTGATGGATACGGGTTCCAATGTACACAGGTATATGTGGAAAGCAGGTCAACAGGAAGTCAGTGAAAAGTCAGCAGAAGTCAGCGGACCATCTGACTACAGTCTTAGAACGAGAAAGGGTATAAAAGGTTGGGAGAGAGAGGAAAGAGAAAGAGAGAAAGAGAGAGGGAGAGGAAAGAAAAAGAGGGAGAGGAAAGAGAAAGAGAGAGAGAGGAAGAGAGAGGAAAGAGAGAGGGAGAGGAGAGAGGGAGAAGAGAGAGGAAAGAGAAAGAGAGAGGAAAGAGCGAAAGAGAGGGGAGAGGAAAGAAAGAGAGAAAGAGAGGCAAGAGTGAGAGGGAGGAAAGGGAGAGAGAGAGAGAGAGAGAGAGAGAGAGAGAGAGAGAGAGAGAGAGAGAGAGAGAGAGAGACCCTTTTAACATCTAAAATGAAGATAACACTGCATACATCCTGCACATATCAATCATAAAGATAAAAAAGGATATATGCAGTGTTATTTTCATTTTAGATATCAAAAGGGTTTTGCGGCTCCCAGTGTTTTGTTTTCAGTGGGAAACGGGTCCAAGTGGCTCTTTGAGTATTTTGTGTTGCCTAGCCCTGGGCTAGAACAAACCTGAAATAGGCCCCCACAGAAGTGATTTGAAGCTCTAACTTGAACTTTATGCTGTTTCACAATACGAATGTACTATTTGTAATCTGCTGAGCTTTGTGCAATATGAAATTGCAAAGTGGATAGTTCTATGTATATCTGGAACATGAGTATTGTAACCGTGGGAGAAATAGGGAACTGAAAAGTAGCTGATGGATGCGGGTTCCAATGTACACGGGTATATGTGGAAAGTAGGTCAACAGGAAGTCAGTAAAAAGTCAGCAGAAGTCAGCAAAAGTCAGCAGACCATCTGACTACAGTCTTAGAACGAGAAAGGGTATAAAAGGTTGGGACTGGACCTGGTTGATTTGCCATTGGCCTATAGCAGGGGTAGGCAACCCAAAACACTCAGAGAGCCACTTGGACCCGTTTCCCACCGAAAACAAAACACTGGGAGCCACAAAACCCTTTTGATATCTAAAATGAAGATAACACTGCATATATCCTTTTTTATCTTTATATATATATGTGTGTGTGTGTGTGTGTGTGTGTCTGTGTGTGTATATGTTTGTGTGTGTATATATAAAATAAAGGTAAAAAGATATATGCAGAGTTATCTTCATTTTAGATGTCAAAAGGGTCTCTGTCTCTTTCTTTCTCTTTCCTTTTTTCTTTCTTCTTTTTCTCTTTCCTCTCCCCCTTTCTTTATCTTTCAGTCTCTTTCCCTTTCCTCTTTTTCTCTTTCTCTGTCTCTTTCCCTCTTTCCTCTCTCTTTCTCTTCTCTTTCCTCTCTTTTCTCAATCTTTTCTCTTTCCTCTTTTTCTCTTTCCCTTTCTTTCTCTTTCCTCTCTTTCCTCTCCCTTTCTCTCCCTTTCCTCTCCCCCCTTTCCTCTCCCTTTCTCTCTCCTCTTTCTCTTTCCTCTTTCTCTTTCCTCTTTTTCTCTTTCTTTCCTCTTTTTCTCTTTCTTTCCTCTCCTTTTTCTCTTTCCTTTCTCTTTTTCCTAACTTTCTCTTTCTTTCTCTCTTTCCTCTTTCTTCCTCTTTCCTTTAACTTTCTCTCTCTCTTTCCTCTCTTTCTTTCTCTGTCTGTCTGTCCCTGTCTCTCTTTCCTCTCTCTTTCTCTTCCTCTTTCCTCTAACTTTCTCTCTCTCTTTCCTCTCTCTTTCTGTCTCTCTCTTTCCTCTCTTTCTCTTTCCTCTTTCCTTTCTCTCTTTCTCTTTCCTCTCTTTTTCTCTCTTTCTCTGTCCCTCTTTCCTCTCTTTCCTCTTTCCTTTCTCTTTCCTCTCTCTTTCTCAATCTTTTTTCTCTTTCCTCTCCCCCTTTCTTTCTCTCTTTCCTCTTTCTCTCTTTCCTCTCCCTTTCTCTCCCTTTCCTCTTTTTCTCTTTCCTCTCCCCCTTTTCTCTCCCTTTCTCTTTCTCTTTCCTCTCTCTTCTCTTTCCTCTCTTCTCTTTCCTTTTTCTTTCTCTTTCCTCTTTCTTTCCTCTCCTTTTTCTCTTTCCTTTCTCTTTCCTCTAACTTTCTTTGTTTCTTTCTCTCTTTCCTCTTTCTTCCTCTTTCCTTTAACTTTCTCTTTCCTCTCTTTCCTCTTTCTTCCTCTTTCCTTTAACTTTCTCTTTCCTCTTTCTTTCTCTGTCCCTCTCTTTCCTCTCTCTTTCTCTTCCTCTTTCCTCTAACTTTCTCTTTCCTTTTTCTGTCTCTCTCTTTCTCTTTCCTCTCTTTCTCTTTCCCTCTCTTTTCTCTCTCTTTCTCTTTCCTCTTTCTCTCTTTCCTCTTCTCTTTCTTTCCTCTTTCTCTTTCCCTCTCTTTCTCTGTCTCTTTCTCTTTCCCTCTTTCCTCTCTTTCTTTCCTCTTTCTCTCTTTCCTCTCTTTCTCTTTCCTCTCTTTCTCTTTCCTCTCTTTTTCTCTTTCTCTGTCTCTTTCTCTTTCCCTCTTTCCTCTCTCTCTTTCCTCTTTCTCTCTTTCCTCTTTCCTTTCTCTTTCCTATCTTTCTCTTCTCTTTCCTCTCTCTTTTCTCAATCTTTTTTCTCTTTCCTCTCCCCCTTTCTTTCTCTTTCCTCTTTCTCTCTTTCCTCTCCCTTTCTCTCCCTTTCCTCTTTCTCTTTCCTCTCCCCCCTTTCCTCTCCCTTTCTCTCTTTCTCTTTCCTCTCTCTTCTCTTTCCTTTTTCTTTCTTTCCTCTCCTTTTTCTCTTTCCTTTCTCTCTTTCCTCTAACTTTCTCTTTCTGTTTCTTTCTCTCTTTCCTCCTCTTTCCTTTAACTTTCTCTTTCCTCTCTCTTTCTTCTTTCTTCCTCTTTCCTTTAACTTTCTCTCTTTCCTCTTTCTTTCTCTGTCTGTCTGTCCCTCTTTCCTCTCTTTCTTTCTCTTCCCTCTAACTTTCTCTCTTTCCTCTCTTTCTGTCTCTCTTTCTCTTTCTGTCTCTCTTTCTCTTTCCTCTTTCTTTCCCTCTTTCCTCTTTCTTTCCTTTCTCTTTCGCTCTTTCCTCTTCTCTTTCTTTCCTCTCTTTCTTTCTCTTTCCTCTTTCTCTTTCCTCTTTCTCTCTCCTCTTTCTCTCTTTTTCCTCTTTCTCTTTCCTCTTTCCACTCTTTCTCTTTCCCTCTCTTTCTCTTCTTTCTCTTTCCTTTTTTCTTTCCTCTTTTTCTCTCTTTCCTCTCCCCTTTCTTTCTTTCTCTTTCTTTCCCTCTTTCCCTCTCTTTCTCTTTCCCTCTTTCCTCTCTCTTTCTCTTTCCTCTTTCCTCTCTTTCTCTTCCTTTCCTCTTTCTCTCCCTCCCTCTCCCTCCAGGTTAGGAGAGAGAGAGAATGAAAGGCAGACGGCGCCAAACGGGCAGGGAAGGGGAGCAGGAGCAGAACGGGAGGCAGCAGCTCCTGGCTGCCGCCCCCATCGCCTCCTCAGCTGAACGGGCGGGCATGGGGAGCAGGACAGGAGGCAGCTAGGATGCTCTGGAGAGAGGTAGACCTCGCACCTTAGAGTGTCTATCACGGCTCCCAGATGAAGGAGGCGGGTCGAAGGAACCACCTGACTCTTTTGGAAGTTTATTGAGAACCCGTGAGCCTGAAAAGCCCTTAGGGTCAGAGCCAGATCTGACTGTGCTGTCTGGACTGAGGCGGATAGGATAAGAATGTCATCCAGGTAGCACTGGATGCGCATAGGAATGGTTCGTAGATGTGCAGCGAAAGTTGCCAGAACTTTTGTGAATACTCTGGGGGCCGAAGAAAGTCCAAAGGGCAGGACCCTGTATTGAAAATGCTGGCCTGCATGGCAAAACCTTCGGAACCTTCAGTGCTCCGGAAGTATGGGAATGTGGAGGTAAGCTTCCGTCAGATCTATGGAAGTCAGAAGGTCTCCCCTTCTGACTTCCGCTTCTGGTTCACGGCAGGCTCAGCCACACGAAGAGCTGTCGCTCTTCGTTGGCTGTTTTCTCTCCACCGGTAGACCCTTATGCGGGTCTTAAATCGCCCTGGAGGG